TAATAATAACTATTTAAGGAAAATAAAAATTTTGTTGCAAAAAAATATTATTTAAATTTCACCAAAGTGTTGGGATAATTTAAAAAAATAATTTTTGCTAAAAAATAATAAAATAAAAAAATATGAAGAGTAATGAATTGTTTAAGTTAATTTTTGTAAATGTAAATATTTAAAGAAAATTAAAAGAGTTTGATTTTCTCATTGCAAGTAAAAATAAATTTTCGGACTTCTTTGTAGAGTTAGAATAATCTAAAATTATTTTTACTGAAATAAAGATTTATTTTAAATAATATAAAAACCATAAATAATAAAAATAAAAGTGTTTTTTTAATTAATTTCTTACTTATTACCAAAATATATATATTTAGATTTCACTATAGAGTTGAGATAATTCAAAAAATATTTTTTTTATTAAATAAAAATTTATTTAAATGATGAAAATAATAAGTAATAAATAATAAATAAATAAAAATTAATCAACTATTTAATTAAATCCCTCTTGTAAGAATTTCAAGAAAATTGGAAAAATCTCATTTTTCTTAATTATCATCAACAAAAAAATATATAAGTTTTAGGATTTCGTCATAAAGTTGAAAGAGTCACAATAATCCTAAAATCTATTTAATAAATTTTAGATTCTTTCAAAGAGTTAAGATAATCCTAAAATCAGTTTTAATAGATAAATAAATAAAATATCTTATAATGAAATTTTGAGAATTTTGTGAATGGTCAATTTTTCTAAAATATTTTTTAAATAAAGATTTTCTATAAATTTTACCAAAGTGTTGGAGAATTTATAAAATATGAAATAATAATAATAATAATAATATCAGTTTCATAACAAAAAATGTTTTTCATAAATGAATTTTAAAAAATTAAATTTAAATATAAAAGGATCACATTATCAAGATTAAATGATTACACATGTTTAATTGGTACTATTTTTTAAACAAGTGAAGAGAGTGTGCTAATACCTTCTTCACCTGTAACCATACTCCTAGACTTAGTATTGATTTCACAAACCAAAATATCTTTTAATAAATCTTAATTAATTTTAATGATTTTTATTAAAAGATGATATTTTAGGGTGGCCAATCTCACCTTACAAAAAAGATTGATGGTGACACTAAAAATTTTCACTAAATTTAGCGATCGAATCCTTTCAGATGAAAAATCATTATATATTTTGGGTTAACATTTAAAATTTAACATATTAACTATTGGATTTGTTTTAACAATTTATTAATGTATGAGGATTCGATTTTGACATATTATAATAAAAGGATTAAATCCAACATTTCACTTAAGTACACAGATGGGGGATACAATTTGATTTAATTTTAAAGATAATATTAATTTATTAAAAATAGGATTAATTATGATAGTTGAACGTGCTTTTTTATTTTATTTGTCTTTTGATTTTTTCTATTTTAATAAAAATAATATCAATTTATTAATTATGACAATTGATTGTATTTTTTGTTTTCTTACTTTTTTATTTTTATTATTTTAAAGAGATATATATTATATTAATTATATATATTTTTTGAAAACATTTAATGAAAGGTCACCCAACTTATACCTATATCCCCTTTGAGTTAATAAGCTTTCATTTGTCTTATCCAGGTCATTAAAATTTTCTATGTATATCAAAATTAGTCATCCTAATTGATTTCATCCAAGTTTTGATAGAAAAATGACATGATTGTCATGTCATTAACCACATCATCTGCCACATCACTAAATAAACCAATATAATTTCATGAAAGGTCACAAAATTTCACTTAATTTTCAAATAGGTCATTGAACTTAATTTGTTACTACAAAGACTAAAATTTGTTAAGTGTATCAAATTTAGTCATTTTAATAAATTTTATCCAACCAAACAACATTCATATTTTCTATATAACTAAAAAGCCTCTCATACCCTATAGAAAATCAAAAGAAAAAAAATTAAGTGAACCCAAAACAAACAATCCTTTAATAAATATTTGTTTTTCCTAAAGTATTGCTGCTTCTTGTAAAATTAAAAAGCACAAATATTTAAACAAAAGAAGAAGTCATTACGATTTAGTTAAAGCAGCGATATTTTAGGAAAACAAATATTATTTAAATATATGTCTTACTTTGGGTTTTCGTAACTTTTTTTTTTTATTTTTTGTGGGGTATGAGAAGATTTTGGGTTATATAGAAAATCTTGATGTTGGTTAGTTGAGTTCAATATTTAGATTTTATCTAACTTTTAGTATGGACGAAATTTATTATTATAGTCAAATTAGGTACACTTGACAAATTTTGGTGACCTTGTAGTAACAAACTAAAATTCAATGATCTATTTGGAAAATGAGTGAAATCTTAATAACCTTTTATAAAATTATATGGGTTTAATTAGTTGATGTAGTAGATGATGTGATTCATGACGTGGCAGCCATATCATTTTTCTATCAAAATTTTGATGGAATTTTTTAAGGTAATCAATTTTGGTATACTTAACAAACTTTAATGACTTGGATGGGATAAATTATAGTTTAGTGACCCAAATGGGATTTGGGTATAAATTAGGTGGCCTTTTATGAAACTTAGGCACCATGTTACTAACTTTTAATCAATTCAAATCCCATCAACTTAGCATTCAACAAAGAAATCAAGGCATATCTCTGTGAAAGTGCATCTGCCACCACATTGGAATTAACTTTATTGTATTTGATGATGTAAGGGAATGTCTCCAAGAACTCCACCCATTTGGCATGTCGACGGGTCATCTTACTTTGCCCCTTCAAGTGCTTCACATATTCATGGTCGATATGAATACAAACTCTTTCAACAACAAGTAGTGTTACCATGTCTTCAAAGCTCAAATTAGTGCATAAAACTCCTTATCATATATAGAACAATTCAGGCTATCTTTACTAAGCTTCTCATTGAAATAAGCTATCAACTCTTGCCTAAACGGCACCCGAATCAAACTGAACTATTTGTCAGGCTATTGTTCTTTTGTTTTGTTCCTTTAAAGTAATGGAGTAAGACATCATATAGTACTAATTTGTATAGTAATAGTATAAATAAATATTTATACTATTACATAGATATTTATACTATTACTATATAGTATAGTAGAATACTATACAAATCCAAAACAAGTAAAACTTTTTTGTTTTCACTTCATTTCGTATTTTTCTAAATAAAAGGAATTCTAATATATAACTAATATCTAATATGTATTAAAAATAAAAATAAAAAACCTTTAAATTCGAAATTCATTTTTTTATTCTATTCTATTTATTCTATTATCTTATTCTATTATCTATTATATATATAGAATATATATAGAATATAGGATAAATTTATATATAGTTATATATAGAATAAATTTTTGAATCTTGCATGAGTACAACCCCAATTCCCACTCCTGACGCATCACATTCCACTTCAAAAGTCTTTGAAAAGTTAAAAAGAGCTAGGATAAGAGCAAATCACAATTTCTCCTTGATTTGCTCAAAACTTCGTTGGGCAGCTTCATTCCAACGAAATTCAATCCCCTTCTTTCAATTCAGTCAAAGGAGCTAATATGGTGTTGAAATTGTTCACAAATCACTTACAAAAAGATGCCAACCCATGAAAACTCCTTATCTCTGATACATTGGTTATAATAGCCCAATCTTTAATTGCCTTTAGCTTTTCTTCATCAACTTCAACGCCATGCTGCGAAACTACAACCAAGAAATATTATTCGATCTTGGCAGAATTCGCACTTCTTCGTATTGCCATATAGCTTCTTTTGCCATAACACTTTAAAAACCTCTCAAAGTGTCCCATTTGCTCTTTTAGGCTTTGGCTATAGAACAAAATATCATCAAAATAAACAACTACAAATTTGCCAATAAACTTACGTAATACATGGTCCATCAATTGCCTGAATATACTTGGCACGTTTGATAACCTAAATGGCATAATTAGGCACCCATACAACTCATGCTTTGTCTTAAATGTAGTTTTCCACTCCCTCTTTCATTCAAATCTAATGGTACTTACTCTTCAAGTTTACCTTGAAAAACACTTTCGAACCATGCATTTTATCAAGCATTTCATCTAATTAAGGAATGGAATAATAATACTTTACGTAATTTTCTTGATGGCCCAGCTATCCACACATATCTACATAATCCTATCCCTCTTTGGTACTACCAAAGTTTGCACTGAGCATGGTTCATCAAATCCTTCTCATAACCCCTTTCCAAAAAGTTCATCTACTTGTCGCTGTAACCCTTTAGCTTCTTATGGATTGCTCCGATAGGTTGGCTTATTGGCCAAACTAGCCTCTAAAACAAGATAAATATGGTGCTCGATCCTCCTAATTGGTGGCAACCCTTAAAGTAACTTTTCTAAAAGACATCTGTAAATTCCTTCAAAATTGCCTCAATTTGTGGTGGTATAAGGCAATTTTCCCCTCATATTACCTCTTTCACTATCAACAACATGATGGGCTAGAATTGAACAAAGCTCATTCCACATGCCCTTTATTCATAAAAGGTTCTCTTTTTTCCCTTCTTAATCAAAACCTGATCTTTTTACACTTGTTGGGGGCTAAGAGGTGCTAACACGGTGTTTTCCCATCCTTAGTGAAAGAATAAGTGTTTCTGAAACCATCATGTGCAACCCTCTTATCATATTGCCACAGTCTTCCTAATAGTAAGTAACTTGCATTCATAGGAACCATATAGCACAATACCTCATCCTTGTACAATTTCCTAATAGAGAGGCACCAAAACCTGTTTTGTAACCTGCACTCCCCCATTATCATTCAACCACTGTAGCATATATAGATGGGGATGTTTTATTGTAACCAAATTTAATTTTTTCACCAAGGTAGTAGACGCGACATTACTATATCTCCCTCCATCTAATGATCACTCCATAAACCTTCCGATTAATGGTGCACCTAGTATGGAAAATGTGCTTCCACCACTCATCATTCACTTTGGCTTGTAAGTTTAGAGGTTGCTAGATTACTAGCAATTTCCATTCATTTGTGTATTCCACCAAATCTTTTTCCAAGTTCTCATCTTTCTCCTCTTCAAAATTTGCTTCATATTCACTTTCTATCTCCTTTGATGATTCGCAAATAGTCATCACACTCTTGTTTGAACATTTAGCTACAATATACCCAAGGCCAAGAAACTTAAGCATTTAGTGTCTCGAGCTCACTTTGGAGGATTAGGATCTTCCACCTTTTCCTTACCTTTGACTAAGTCTATCAGTGGCTTACTAGAACCTCCTTTCTTCATTTACCTCACGTCCCTATATGAAACAACCCATAGGGGTATGTAAGTTGAATTTCCCCTTTGTTCCTAAACTGCCGAGAGCTATTGGATTTGTTTATGCCTCGTTTAAGCTACTTTTCCACCTTTACAGCCAATTTAATGAAATTCTCTAAAAATACGAAAGGCTACAACTCCACTTTTCATACAATTGCTGAATTCAATCCCTTTAGGAACCATGCTATGGTTTACTCTTAAGGTTCACACAACTCACACCTCATCATCATCATCATCATCTCAAATTCCTTGACATAATCTTTAACACACATACCACCTATCAAAAACTTTTTAGCATGATGTACAGCTCTTGCTGATAATATTTAGGAACAAAGTTTTTGCATCAACCATTTCATATCCCTCAAATTGCAGATCTCATCTTTGCCATCACTCCTTTATTAGCTTTTCACATTCTCCCACCATAAATTAGCACAATTCGTAAATTCAAGGGTAGCAAGTTTACATTTTTTCACCTCGAAATAGTCCTAGCACTCAAACAACTTTTCCACACGCTACACCCACTCCAAGTATTCCTCGAGCAAAATGGTTCCCTTAAATGAAAGGATTTTTATCAATGTTGCTGCCTAAATCCCATTGTTGCCTTCTTTATCGCAGGTGTTCTTCTGCCACACCATCTACTCTGAACTTGTCAACGTCTTCTACATGATCATAGGTAACCCCTCTTTGTGCTTAAAACTCTCCCTACCTTGTAGGTTGCTGCCCTTTCATTCTTTCAATGGCTTGAGTCAAATGAACAAGTTGCTCCATCATCTTCTATTGCATTCATTGGATTCCTAATATTTGCGTTTGTTCTAAAGATAATACTTTCTTGTTGGTCATGTTCAAATTTGCAGAAAATAATTAACTCTTATGTTTTATGCCTTACTCCTCAAACCTGCACACACACAACCTAGCTCTAATAAATTTTAGGTTTATACAATAAAAAAACAAAATAAAAAAGTGAAACCTAAATCCTCTTAGTTGATAAGTTGACACGTCACAACCAAAAGAGCACAAAATTGATTCACCACACTTTTAGAAAAGGAAAAAGGAAAAGTGATAAGAATTAGGGTAATTCGCCACTAAACAATACAATTGTTTAGATAAAAATTGAAGAATTATGTAAGAATAAAATTCTAATATTTTTTATTCCACCAAAAATTACCATCTATTACAATTATAAGGCCTTAATATATTAAAGCACAAGAAAGAAACCCTAGATTCTAAGATGTGAGACATTAAGAGAAGAAATCATAGGATTTCCTAATTAATAAGATATTCTGCAAATTTAGTAAATCTAAAAAATCTCTAAGATATGCAAAGGTATACCTAAAATAAAATAAAAAAGATTAAATTACAAAATATCAATTAAACTAAGTAAATAATATGATAATTTACCACATAAGCCATTTACACAAATCTTCCACATGCAAAAGCCCAATGAATGTACCCGTTAGCTACCAAATGTGCCTTGTATCTTTCAATTATTTCATATGATTTACACTTAATCTTAAAAATTTATTTGTTCCCAATTGATTTACTTTTTTTGAGAAAATCAACTAATTTTCATACGTTGTTTGATCTCATAGAGTATATTTCTTTTTCCTTTGCTTTCGTCCACTTTACTTTTGCATGAAAAGAAAAAGTTTTTTTTACATTCCTTGACCCTTTTTCATCTTGTGGGATAATCACAAAACCATGTGGTTATGCATTCTTTGAATATAAATCCATTTTTTAAAAGATCATAACTTTCGTGCTTTGGTTAGTTTGTGAGATTCTTTCAACGACTTGTGTTGAAGAGATATCTATATGATCTAATAGATTGTATAAAACTCGCAGTAGCAACAGAATCAAGAAAAATATACAGAAAAAATAGTTTCCAAAGCATACCAAGACGTAACATCTTAAACACGAACTAAGCTAACACTGGTTTTTATTTCTTTTTATTTTCGATCCTACCCCTATTGAATTGGAACGAGACAAAACTCGTTTAGTATAAATTATTTTATCAGCTCTAGATATAGATAGTTTCAGTACTTTTTTATTTACTTTTTTTGTATTTCGTTAAAAAATGAATGATGAAAAAGAAAACAAAATGAAGCTTTTTTTTTTTTTTTAAGATCGCATTCGATAAGAGGACAAAAGAGAGAAAGGGGGGTAAATCATTGGTATGGGTTCCACAAGCACGTGGTTTAGTCGATATTGTCGTGTTTTTTTAAGAAGGTTAGTAGATATTGTTGAAGGAAATAAAAGAAGAATGGTGAAAAGACTTACTCACGCGGTCTTCCCATTTCGCGACAAATCCCCCCATTACTCTCATTTGCTTACTGTTGCGTTATCCCAATGCCAATGCCTCTTCCCTCTTCACTCCTCAGATCAATTATCTTCTAAAAGATCTTAGATCTCTCAAATTCAATCCTTAATCGAAATGAAGCTACCAGACACCAACCCACCCACCCACTAAATCAAAAGAAGCAAAAACCAAACCAAACACTCTTCTTTTTGGCTAACAACACCAAAACCAAATGGCCACCATTAACGATATCCCCGACGTTATTTTATCCAACATCTTTTCTTCGATTTCCGACACCCGAACCCGGAATTCCCTTTCACTCGTCAGCCGTAAGTTTATGCTTCTAGAAAGGGCCACGCGCGTCTCCCTCACGCTCCGTGGTAACGCAAGGGACCTTTTCATGATCCCGACCTGTTTCAGATCCGTCACTGACTTGGACCTCTCCTTGCTCTCCCCCTGGGGTCACTTGCTGTTCTCCTCTTCTCCGTTGTCTGATCCTCAGATTTTGGCCCACCGCCTCCGCGTGGTGTTCCCTGCGGTGAAGTCCTTGACGGTGTACGCTAGATCGCCGTCGACGATTGAGATGTTGGTTCAACAATGGCCTGGGTTGAAGCGTGTGAAGCTGGTGAGGTGGCATCAACGGCTCGCCCAGTGGCCAACCGGAGAAGATTTTTGTTGTTTGTTTGAGCAGTGCGAGAATCTGAGTTCGCTTGATTTGTCCAGTTTTTATTACTGGACTGAAGATCTCCCACCGGTTCTTCAAGCTTTCCCCAAGGTATCAGCCTCGTTAGTCCACTTGAATTTGCTAACGACATCGTTTGCTGAAGGGTTTAAGTCAGAGGATATTAAGGGAATCACCGAGCCTTGTCCTAACTTGAAGAGCTTTTTGGTGGCTTGTAACTTTGATCCTAGGTGTATTGGGTCCGTGGGAGACGAGGCTTTGTTAGCTGTGGCCAATAATTGTCCTAAATTGACGCTTTTGCATTTGGCTGATACGTCCCCATTCGCTGATGTTAGAGGTGATCCTGACAATGAAGGATTTACTTCTGAGGATGCTATGATTACCACAGGGACGCTGCTGGAGTTTTTCTCTGGGTTGCCGTTGCTTCAACAGCTGGTGCTTGATGTCTGTAGGAACGTGAGGGATACTGCGTTGGCTTTGGAATTGTTGAATTCTAAATGCAAGGATTTGAGGGTGCTTAAGTTGGGGCAGTTTCATGGGATTTGTCTGGCGATTGAGTCTCGACTTGATGGGATTGCCATGTGTTCGGGGCTGGAAGAGTTGTCTATTAAGAATTCTGGGGATTTGACGGATATGGGATTGATTGCAATTGGCAGAGGCTGTTGTAAGCTATCTAGGTTTGAGGTTCAAGGTTGTAAAAGGATTACGGAGAAGGGACTCAGGACTATGGTTTGCTTGCTGAGAAATACTTTGGTTGAAGTCAAGATTTCTTCTTGTAAGAATCTTAATGCTGCAGCATCATTGAGAGCTGTCGAGCCAATATGTGATCGGATTAAATGGCTGCATATTGATTGTGTCTGGGATGGATTGGAAGGGACTGGGAATTCAGAGCAGGTTGGTCATAGTTTTGGGAACAATCATCAAGTGGAGGAACTATCCGGTTTATCCAACTTTCCTGGATGTGAGTATGATCAAGACATAAGCAGGAAGAAATGCAAGTACTCCATTGACTTGTGTGATAATAACGTTATGGAAAGGAATGCCGTCGATGCATTTTGGTTCAAGAAATGGGACAAGTTGCAATACCTTTCTCTTTGGATTGGTGTTGGTGAGCTTCTCAATCCATTGGCAACGGTAGGTCTTGATGACTGTCCCAATTTGGAAGAGATTAGAATAAGAGTGGAAGGGGATTGCAGGGGACGCCACAAGCCATCTGAACGTGCATTCGGATTGAGCTGTCTTGCACTCTACCCTCTGCTTTCAAAGATGCAATTAGATTGCGGTGAAACCATAGGCTATGCACTCACAGCACCGTCAGGCCAAATGGACTTAAGTTTGTGGGAAAGATTTTACCTCAATGGCATTGGGAAATTGAGGCTACGTGAACTGGATTATTGGCCTCCACAAGACAGGGATGTCAACCAGAGGAGTCTTTCTCTACCTGCAGCTGGATTGCTCGCAGAATGTCTTGAGCTTAGGAAGCTATTTATCCACGGGACGGCTCATGAACACTTCATGATGTTCCTTCCTAGAATCCCCAACCTTAGAGATGTACAGCTGAGAGAAGACTACTATCCTGCACCAGAGAATGATATGAGTACGGAAATGAGAGCTGGCTCATGTAGTCGCTTTGAAGATGCCCTGAATGGTCGACCCATCCTTGATTGAAATAACCTAATGATGAGAAACCTAGCCCGGATTATGCTAGTTTTTTTTTTTTCCTTACGTTTTTCCCATAAATTGGCGCATGTACGAGTTTTTCTTTTTTCAAACGAGTGCTGTAGGAGAAAATGTTTTACTAGTACAAAGGCTTTTCATTTTTGTCCGTCACGGACCAGAAGCAAGGCCTAATGTGATTGAACAAAAAAAAAAGAGGCTTTTCACATTTGGACATTCAATAAAAATTTTTAAAATGATTGGAAAAATTACTATAGTGTTTACATCTCTCCCAGGTTTTCTATACAAACAGAACGTATCGGCAGAGAGAGTACTCGCAATCGAGCAAGTGAGCAAGCAAGTTCCTCCTCACAACTTGGCCGCTCTTCCGGTTCTGCCCAATTGTCTGTAGCCAACAAACATCATGATATATTAAATTACCTCAAATGTGATCCGTTTATTATTACCATGAATCAGGAAGTAAAAATCATCCTGAAAAATGTAGGAAAATTTTGTATGGTAGACCTGAAATTAGCCTGCCTATGGGACCTTCAGGAAACTCCAACCGTGATCCTTCATTTGCAACAGCATAAACTACCTGAACGCAACGTAGAAAAGGCCCATAAATCTTTAAGAATAGGAATATCAAAAAGTGGATTGTTTTATGAGTTAAAATAATAATAATAATAAATAAATAAAGCATAAAAAATAAAGACAAACAAGTGATTTGACAAAGACTTTGAGTCACAGCATACTGCATACCATTGCTGGTGGCACACCTTCCCATGGTCTAGTTAGAGTACAGAGCTCTCACATTATCAACCCAAAGCTAAAAATATCACATTTTTCGGTGAAAGGTTCATTGCGAATGAATCCGGGAGCCATCCATCAGGGTGTTCCAGCAGATGCAGACTCTCGCATGGGGCGGCTGGTCATTATTTTAGAGAGCCCAAAAATCACATACCTTCACAGTTCAGTGCTTATTCACAAGGCAATTTGTACTTTTTAACTCACGATGAACTATTTTCATCCGGTGCATACAAATCAAGCCCCCATTATAAGCAAGAGGAAAATCAAGTCAGCATGACAGTTTTATTTTCCTTAAAACGTCACTCATGTAGGATACACATCTGCCAAATAAATTGAAATAAATATGGTAAAATGAATTTTCAAAATTAATTGGGTGTTAACCTTGAACATGATACAGATACAGATAGAGTTTCTAACTTCACCAGTTGAACTAAAGGTTTTTCTTAAGAACAAATTATTTGCCAAAAAAAGGTAACATTTCCTCTGGTTCATTCAAAATTCCAGACAAGAATCTTTACCACAGAGGCCGATAAGCTTGTCTAATACAGACATACAAATACTGAAAGGTTATGAGTTTCACATAGAAACTAAGCAATAATGGCTTTGTAGATACAAACAGAAATATTATATTTCAACAGAAACTACGATAAACAAGGAAACTTTATAATACCAGATCACATAATACAAATATATGCACCTGTATTTAGAAACTTGCAAACATTAAGCATGAAAAGTTTAACTTACAAGTGTAACATTCATCTACTCCTACTAAGAAGAAAAATAATGAAAATAATAATAATAATTATCAAGTACTCACACTAAAAACTCAAACACCTACAATTCTAGAAGTTCCTTTTCCGGTAAGCTTAATTATACAAGTTCAAAGGAGGAAATTAAAAATAAATTCTTATGTAACAGACTGAACAAGCGTTAGTACTCAAATGTTATATGTTAAAGTGTCCCACATGTTTTCCAAAAAAAATACAAAAAACAAAAAAGAGCAAGAAAAGAAATAATAGGGTATGTAAAACTTGAGGAAAGGCGGAAATTGATACAGAAAATAAACCAGTTGTACTTATTCCTTCCTAAAGTACCTACCGATGGACTCTAGGAGTAAATATTAATTTCTCAAAATATAATATACTACATTGCACTATGTTCCTTTTAAATATGAAGGCAGAGAAAGATGAATGCTTTGTAAGTGACGTACAGGACTAACACACCTGCAGATATCACACATCATTGTCAGTTTCCTCCGCCAGTTCAGTCTCTTTTTCTGACCATTCAAATGGATTAAAATGTACAATGATCCCATCTCCATGTATTCAGTAATCACTGACAACCGTGGTGGTTTTGTGCATGCACCCAAAAACAAGATTACAGCAAAAAACCAGCACTCCTTGGTTCACTAACTAAACGATGAAACAAAGCAAACTTGCCGATGTTTCTTATGGTGCTACAGGGAAAATGTACATATGAGCAACTTCTTAGAGGCACACTGCCAGTGTTTATTTTATTTATTTTACTTCATTCTCATGTTGTCCTATTTCTGGTTCGGTTACTGGATGATGTGATCCTAGACAAACCAAAAAGTACAATTTTAGAAATGGTAGGAAAGTACCACTGGGATGTCAAAGGCGGCTGAAAGTACACACACATAGAAGCACAAAATTTTGAAAAGAGTATTATTATGTCAGAAAGATATTTAGACAGGAAAAATATAAAAAACTTTAAATACATCAACAGAAAGATACCTAAGAATAAATATCGCATTGCAGAAGTCTTCCATAATTTCTGCAATAAGATCCTACAAAAACACCTTGTTTGCAACATCTGTTCCATTCCATACACTACGGAAAACTTCTCCTAAAAACCCAAGACAATAAACACACAACAAGATTTTGAAAAAAAAAAAATTCCTACTCTGTGAAATCTAGAGTGATGAACTTTCGATATATAATTAAGCACAAAACAATCAAGTAGGAATTTGATTAATAAACCAAATCCCTTCTATTTAAGAAACAATCAAAATACTAAATGAATGACACTTAATCAAATCTAGTTAGGAATCGACTTTTCATACTCCCCCTCAAGTTGGGTGATAGATATCAATCATACCCAACTTAAACTTCAAATTCTCAAAATTACCACAATGAAGAGCCTTGGGGAGGATGCCGACTGTCTGATGTCTTGTTGGAGTGTAGACCAATTTGACTATGCCTATTTCAATATTCTCTTGATAAAGTGGCAATCAATCTCTATATGTTTCATTCGATCATGATAAACAGGGATTTTGGCAATGTTAATAGCTGTTTTATTATCACAAAACAATTTCATTGAATTCCCAGCTGACTTCTTCAATTCCTGTAGCATTCTCTCAAGCCAAATTCCTTCACAAATCCTATGAGACATAGCCCTAAATTCAACTTCAACACTACTTCGAGCTACCACTGCTTGTTTCTTGCTCCTCCAAGTGACCAAGCTGCCCCACACATATGTATAATACCCTGTAGTTGACTTTCAGTCTGTCACAAAACCAACCCAATCTACATATGAGAAAATCTCGACATCTCTATTAACTGTTTTTCTAAAGTGCAACCCTTTGCTTGAATTTTTTTTCAAGCATTGAAGGATCTGATATATTGATACTATGTGTGTTTGTAAGATTGTTCATAAATCTACTCACCAAACTTACAGAGAAGCCAATGCCAGGTCTAGTGTGCGCTAAATAAATTAATTTTCCCACAAGTCTCTGGTATTTGTTTTGGTCTACAAGAGGACTTCCATCTCTGATTCCCATCTTGGCATTTAGGTCCATTAAAGTATCCATTGGTTTACACCCAAGCATCCTTGTCTCTTTCAGAAGATCAAGTACATATTTTCGTTGTGAAACAAAAATACCATTTCTTGATCGAGCTACTTCCATGCCAAAAAAAAATCGAAACTGTCCCAAGTCCTTTATTTCAAACTCTTTAGCTAGAAGAGTCTTCAATCCAACTATTTCCTTTTCATAATCGCCTGTGAGGACAATACCGTCAACATAAACAATCATAATAGCAATCTTGCTAACATAAACAATCATAATAGCAATCTTGCTATTTGGTGAATGTTTGACAAATATAGTATAGTTGGATTGGCATTGTAAGAACCCATTTTTTTTAACAGTCTTAGTCAAACGATCAAACTAGGAGCAAGGAGATTGTTTGAGGCCATATAAGGATTTCTGATGCTTACACACATTGCCAATGTTGTCCTGGTTGTCAAACCCAGAGATTTAAATAGCGATCGCGATCACATTAATATTTGTCGCATTTTCGGATATAACAGAGATAATTGCGATCACTACGACCATCATGGGCGTGATTTTTTTTTTCGCACAATTTATTATAAAATGTAATAATTATAATTATAATTATAAAAACTCTTATTCAATGATTTTAAAAATAGTTTATGACACTCTATGTTTTTTATTTTCTAAAAAAATTATTCACAATTTTATTTAGATTATAAAAAGCATTCATATTTGGTTTATCCATAAAATTTGTCTTGGCCAAGTTCATATTCAATATTAATTCTAGACAAATCAAATATTAAGAAAACATAATACGTTAAATACCAAGCATTTAATTTAATAAAATTACAAACTTAAAAATATAATAATTTCAAATTTCATCAACTACAATTATAGATATATATTTTAAATTTTATCACATGGTAGAATGACGAGGAGGATCAGATTCTCTATCTTTACTTTGAGAGCCAAGTTGACTCCATCTTCATTCCTGAGGCCTTTGTTCTTGATACATTTGAGGTGAAGAATATATTTGAGGATGATACATTTATGGTGAATGGTATATTATCTATGTATATCATATTAAATTATTAATCTCTTAATTTTTTTTAATTATAAATCTTCAATCCCTCTAATTAGATTTTATCTAAAAAAATTTCAAAAATTAAAAGTTTTCAAACTTATATTTTAATAAAATTTTCAAACCTATATTTTTTATTTTTTTAGTTTTTAATCTTAATAAGAGTAATATATCATAAAATGCTAAATTTATTAAGTAACTTAATTTTTGATACACTAATTGATATAAATTTTTTTTATCACAAGCAACTTTTAATAATTATATAATAAACACAATCTTAAATAATTACACAAAAATAAAAAGAATTAATCTAATATCAAAAGAATTAGAAATAATATAAATATCAAAACAACAAAAAAAATATTAAAATTCAGATACAAAATTATAAATTAATATATAACACAATCAAAATATAATATTTAATTTTAATTATTTTTCATCTAACTTATACAAAAAAATTTATCAAAATTTTTCATTTAAAATCTCTATATATTATATTAAATTATTAATCTCTTTTTTAAATTATAAATTTTCAAAACCACTAATTAAATTTTATCTAAAAAATTTTCAAAAATTAATTACAAAAT